ATTACACATGGGGTTACAAAATTTGGAAAACTAATATTAGATATCTCCCAAGCATCAATTGATAACATGCTTTGTCAACGATTCAAGGATAATGTTGAATATAAAGAGCAAGTCAATAGCATGGTGGCTGAATTTCTTATATCTGATTCACAACTATTTTCTGTTTTAGAAAATCTGGCATTCAAAAAACTTTTAAAAAAATTTAATCCATATTATAAAATACCTTGTGACAAAGGTATTAAAGCTCGAATTTGTATGTCTTATAATTAGATGTTGACCACTCTTCAAGATATATTGAAGAATTCAATGAATTATTGTGGGTTAACAATGGACTTATAGACTTCTTGCAGTAATAGTAGGTATCTCGGAATTACATATTCATAGATCAATTCTTGTTTTGAATTGCAAGAAATTACTTTGGCTATTCGTGAAATAAAACACCCATATACTGGATATGCAATCACTTCTTTATTGAAATCTATTATCCAAGATTGGAACTTAAATACGAAAGGTTTTATGATAATAACTGATAACACCAAAAATATGAAAAAGGCTATTATGGAATTTGAAGGAGTTGATCATCTTTCATATTGTGCATATACTTTACAACTAGTCATAAGAAAAGGCTATTACCAGTTAAAGTTTTAGTTACATGAGCAAAACGGTTAATACAATTTTTTACATCTCCTAAACAAAGTGAACAGCTTGAAATAGCACAAATTTCTTTAAACTGTGAAGTGTGCAATAATATTAACAATAATTATGAATATCTTAAAGTTATAATAGATGTTGCAACAAGGTGGGACTCTACGTATATAGCATGAGTGAGAATTTTAAAATTAAAACCAGCAATCAAAGTAATGCAATTAACAATGAGTCACAGCAAAGACTCTATAGTTAAAAAAGATGCAAGGCATCTTAAACGAATTATACTAACACCTGAGGAATGGCAATTAATGAAAGATTTAGTTAAAATTTTACAACCTTTCGCTGATGCTACAAAGATGCTTGGTGGAAGCAAATATACTACAATATCATATATATTTCCTGCTATATCATCTCTTAAAAAATTGCTTAATATTACATATGATGCTCAAATTAATATAAATC